GCCTTTGAGGAGAGGAGGCCACTGACATTTTTATGGGAAGGAAAAAGATTTCCTTTCTTTATTTCCTTCTAACAGATGGGCATTTAGAAGGCTACAGAAAACGCTGCCATCTATTAGTGACGTGTGAAAGAAAAGGTACACATTCATAACTACAACAGAAAGTAATGGAATAGTAGATTCTTTTTTTTTAACATAAGTTTATTTTAGGTTTCCTATCCTTAAATTTGGTTCCCTCTTGCTCTCACAATAGTTTATTGTTTCTGATATAAACTTACCCTACCTTTTAAAGAGAGAGGTTAAGATTTATAGGAAAGAAGTAGTGTCTTTATCTGTTGGTGGAGGTTTGTAAAGATGTTATCTAATTTATTTTTAAAAGCCAAGGTTAAGAATGTCAAATATGTCTTGCAGTTTAGAACTACTCTGAATTGCCATTCTGTGCTATAACATGGAGTGACCTAGAGGCAGGATTCTTAACTGGTGATAATGAAAAGAAACAAGTTCAAACTCTATAATCTTGTCTATTGTATTAGTCCTCTCCCTGCGGTTACAACAACAAATGGGTTGGGAGAACTGTGAAAGGAAAGGAAAATTCTTACCGTACCATCACTTTTAAGTCAACCTTTGCCAAAACATAAAAATGCAAACGCTTACAGATTTTTCTCAGTAAATTTGGTTAAGTCATAACATTTTTTTTTTGAGAGATTTTCACTGTAGGGCGCGTACGCTCGCCAGACAGACAGAGAGAGACATAGAGACAGAAAGCAAGAAATCACCCCCCAGGGGGGATGGTCACGCTGCAATCCCTTCTCCTCCATTCTCCTCTCGGGATCTTGGGCACGCCCGCACACGCGCCCGGCGTGAGTTTTAAGCCACCGGGTCCGGGACACGAACCGCGGTCGACTACGTGGGAGTCCAACGACATAGCCATTACGCTAACTGCTGGTTCCCGTCATAATATTTTTTATTTCTATTTAGCAACTGCTGTAGTGAAATTAATTTAACCTTTTATATTCGATTCTCATGATTACATGTGTTAATACTAATATATTAAGCCCCACAACTGGATACAAAAAATGATTTATGAGACTAGATGACTATCCCAGCTTCATGTTAAAATAGCTTTTTTGAATCCCTTTTAGACACTATACAGAGTTACCACAATATATTTCTATTTAAGAAGATATATTGGGTAGAAAATATTTCTAGAAGCAAGGTTTCAAGTTGCCCTGTAAAATATCTATTTGGCCCAAGGGAAAATTCTACTGAATCATTACCCATGTTGTGTACACTCTGTTGGCCCTAAAATGAGGAATAAAAATATGCTTCTATAAGCAGGTTTCAATTAGGTCATCTAGATGATAATAGTAACAGCACATGGGGTTCCTCTCCTCTCCCTGTTTACCACAGAAACTCAGTGAAAAGTAAGGGCCATTCAGTGGCCTGGTGTTGAGACAGCTGGATCACACATGGCTGACTGCGTGGGTGAAGTCCTGAACCTGGCAGCTTGAAAAACATACCAAGCACATGTGTGTGTCCGAAATCCTGACAGAATAAATGGAGAAGAGACTGCAGTGTGACCATGCCCCATGGAGAGTGCTCTCTCCCTGTTCCCACCTCATCTCTCTCTGGCAGGTACCTGTACCCTCTGGCACACGAAAAAGAAAAAAAAATGTAAGCAAATATGTGGATTTCAACCTATCCTTTTTATTTAAGCATTTAATCTTTGGAATACTAAATTAATCTCTAGGAGTGATTATTTTTTCTGTCATCCAGACTAAAACATCTTAGCGTTGTGAAGGCTGCTGGATTTAGACTTAAGAGACCACATTTCATTGAAGATCCCCACCCAAGCTCTTCCGGCTGGAACCCGTGGAGGGCATTCAAGAAAAAAAAACAGGCTCCTGCTGATGTGGAAGCCACTGAGGTACTGCTGAGCCAGAAACCCTTAAGAAAAAGCTAAGGAATTTTGCAGAGCTGGAGATCAAGTGTCTGAGAAAAAAAGTTTGCTCAAAAGATGCTTCGAAAGGCAAGGAGGAATCTTATCTACAAAAAAGCTAAGCACTATCATAAGGAATACAGACAGAGATTCACATGGCCAGGGTAGCAAGAAAAGCTGGCAATTTCTATGTACCTGCAGAACCCAAATTGGCGTTTGTCATCAGGACCAGAGGTGTCAATGGAATGAGCCTAAAGGTTCGAAAGGTGTTGCAGCTTCTTCGTCTTTGCCAGATCTTCAATGATACCTCTGTTAAGCTCAACAAGGTCTAAATTAACATGCTGAGAATTGTGGAACCATATATTGCATGGCGGCACCCAAACCTGAAGTTATGGCAAAGTCAGTAAGAAGCAAATTGCTTTGACAGATAACTGATTGCTTAGTCTCTTGGCATCATCTGCATGGAGGATCTGATTCATGAAATCTATACTGTTGGAAAACGCTCCAAAGAAGCAAATAACTTCCTGTGGCCTTTCAAATTATCTTTTCCACCAGGTGGAATGAAGAAAAAGACCACCCATTTTGTAGAAGGTGGAGATGCTGGCAACAGGGAAGACCAGGTCAATAGACTTATTAGAAGGATGAAGTAAGGTATCCACCATGATTGTTTTTGTAATCTGGTCAGTAAATAAACAGTGGCTGTTTTCAGACGGAAAAAAAAATGCCCACCCAACAAAAATGCACCCTATTGAGATGTTTGCTACTTTTGCTACTCTGTCCTCTTTATTTGCCTTCCTTCTTTCAGAACCAAATGTGCTATTGTTCTAAGAGGAAATCATTTTATTATGTGCTCTTTTTTTAAAAAAAATTTGACAAGGTCTAACTGCATCACAATCCTTGTGCCTCAACCTCCTGAGTAGCTGGAACTGTTGTGCCCATTGTGCCCAGCTTCCTAGGGTAGGCTGGGCTTCCCCTGTGGTCTCAGCTTCCCAAGTTCAGCTTCTGTCACCATGCCACCAGAGACTGGCCCTTCACCCTAAGTAGGGCATGGGTTAGCTCTGGATAATCAAACATACTGCTGTTTTTGTGGTAAATGGGAACATTCCCAATAAGTGAAATAGACTGTAACCAGCTCTGTGTATTTTGATGCCATATGAATGTTGGCACCAATCATAGGTTTGGGTGTTTTTAAGGTTTTTTGGTGGTTTTAACTTTTAAAAATCACTTGGTTTTTAAAACTTTTTAGATTTTAGAATTAGAGGGAAAAAATTGTGAACTTGTTTGGTGAAATATATGTATATGTATGTGTGTGTGTATAAATACTATTTGGGAGGAAAGACCATTAATCTATTTTGCACCAGATGAAGAGAGACCCCCTCACCTCCCATTCTACTCCCTACTGTTCTTCAAACATACCAGGCATATTCTTACCTCAGGGCACTGGCTTTTCCTCTCTGTGGAATGTTTTATTCCTGTTAATGTAAGACTCACTTGCTCATCTCCTTCAGGTCTTCACTCAAATACCATCTCAGTGAGTCTTTCCCTGACCATTCCGTTCTAATTTTAAAGCGCTTTCTCCACCAGCCCTCCCATCCTCCTCTTGTATTGTTCTCCACAGTACTTAATACTATCTGACATAATAGGCAGTCCTCACTTCTTTAATCATTTCTTCTCTGCTTGAAACTAGAACACTAGTTCCAGAAGGATGGGGATTTAGGCTTATATATTCATTGTTGTATCTCTAGCATTTAGAACTGTGCCCAGAATATGGTAGGTACAAGGCTTTTTTTTTTTTTTTTTTAAGGTTTTTGCCCAAGGGTGAGTGTGTTCACCAGAGGGGAAGACATAAAGAGACAGAGAGGGAAAGCAAGAAATCACCTCCAGGTAACATGGCCATGATGCAATCCTTTCTCCTTCATTTTTCTCTCAAAAGATTTTGGGCATCTATGCACACATGCCCAGTGTGATTTTCAAGCCTCCAGGTCTGCGACTTGAACTATGATTGGCCATGTGGGAATCTCGAGCCTTAACCACCATGCCAACTGCTAGCTCCAGTACATAGCATTTTAAAAGGGGAAGAGGATATTGTTTCCACACACTTGGAAAAATATGGACATATATATTCTGCCTCAATTCCCCCTCATGTATGGGCTTTCAGGGTGCTAAAACTATAGCTGTAAGTAAGACTAGCTGGGCTGATATTTAGAGTATAGGGCCGGGGTGGGGGGGTGGACAGAGATGGGGGACTGACGACAAGGAAGTCAAGTAAGGCAATTTCATATGGTGAAACATAATAATAAATAATATTACACTTTTGAAGGAGAGTGTCACAATATGGAGTGATGATTTTAGCCTGGGAGGCCTCTAGGCTGAGCCCTGAATGACAGGAAGGGATCAGCTATGTAAAATTCTAGAGGGAGGGCATGTCAGCTAGAAAAAAGAAAAACCTAAAACCTCAGGTAGGGATGGACATGGTCTTTGAAGCAAAAGGTCAATGTGGCTAAAGTCTAGTGAGCAAGGAAAAAATACCACAAAGATGAGGATGGGGAGATCAGCAGGCACTGCTTAATAGTTCTTGATAAGGAGTTTGGGTCGCAGCTTGCTTTCTCATTTCTCTCTCTCTCTCTCTCTCTCTCTCTCTCTCTCCAGTGAGTACATGCAACCTAAGGCAAAAATCTTAAAAAAAAAAAAAAAAAAAGAAAAAAAAAGAAGGAGCCTAGTCAGGAGTCTATGGCAGTGGTTCAGGCTAGAGTTAGTAGTTTTTCAGCTTAGTAAGTGTTTAGTAAAATGGTGAAGCACCAGGGTAGAAACAAAATATTTTGGTTGGTTTGTTTGATATCAGTACTTACTTTGAAAAATCTGCAGGGAATGGGGTTGAGTTGGAAGCTACAGATCTGCTGGCTGTGAGAGCTTTGGCCTCTGTGAAGAGGTCAAGATTGGGGGAATACATTTGGGAATCATCAGCATTTAGAGCCCATTAAAGGTGGAGAATAGATGACATACCAGAAGAAAGTTTAGACAGAAGAAAACACTAGTACACTTTAAGACTATGTCAGACCATTAAGACTCTTCACAACTAATTTATTTGAAAATAGACAAAACTATTAATTGTAGAAAATAGTAACAGCAATTTTAAATGTACACTTTTAATCAATACAAAAAAAGCAATAAAGCAATATCTGGAGCTTTATTTAAGAAATCTCAATACACGATCACTGAAGTTCCTAAAATTCCGACACTAATTCTAATGTGAACATATTAGCACAAGATTCAGAAATATGGTGAGTCTTTGATCTAAAAACTAACTGACTGGTTTGATATTCATGCAAAAAGTAATGCAGAAATGGGGTAAAGCTTTCTAGTGCCTTTGTTATCAATATAACTGTCAAAATAGCAGATCTGAGACTTAATTGAGCACAAAATAAATTTTTTGTTTTCTAACAAATAAGACCAGACTTCTTATAAAAGAGAACTCTGAGTTTAGACAAAATGATCTTCCTAAAAGCTAGCTGATGCTATCTTAAATACCACCTATTTTAAATTATTCCATCTCTAAATAAGTTAATCACACAAGATAGTTTAAATACACCTTTAGGTGTAGGGGCAGGGATGCACCTCTTTTTTTTAATGCAGCTGTTTTAATCTGAAGCTTCCATACAAAGTCAGAAAGAAGTATTGATGCCAACCTACAAAATCTTTGATTCCTTGCAGTTTTGGACTAGAAATAATATGGTTTTGAATGTGCCATTGTTAGATCATCGTGACTTTTTTTAAAAAAGATAGACAATTGCCAGTTCAAAAGATACATGGAAGACATGTACCATTCCAGAGAAAAGCAAATCTCCCCAAATTTAGGACGGCAGAGTAACTGTGGAGATGCAATCAGACAGATCTTTAAGGAAAAAAAAATTAAGGCAATTATAGTTAACAGTCTGCTTATGGAATAAAATTAATTTATATCTTGATTCCTTAGGACCCAGAGAAATGAGAAAGTGCACTTGGGATATATTATACCAGGGTCCTCTACAGCAAAGCTCTGGCCAGAGTACTTTATTTTTTCAAGTACTAGATGGGTACTTTATAAATTCAGTGATCTGAATAGTATAAAAATCAAAAGTACTATCAATAGTCCTCCTTTTAAAGCATGAGTTAGATGAAGGAAAGAGTAAGTTCTTCCAAGTTCTGAGGTATGAAATCTCTGTCAGTAGTAGGACAGTATCACGTTCATACTTTGCTTTCTGCTTGTACTTAAAAGTGAAAAATTATAAAACAAGTACATATTACATCAGATTCCAACAGTAAAATAACATCTGATTCATAAAAATTAGTATTTTTTTTCTAGTTTCTAATAATTTCTATTTTAGCAGAAGAGTTCAGGATATTTGGGTGACTGGGCAGCCAGTCGAATTACATTTGGAAGACAGGACACATTTTCTAAGGGTGTTCATGTTAAATTAAAAAAATATACATATAAATTAATAAAACCAAGAGCAAACGTCACACAGTGTCCACCAAGGTCCTGAGATCCTCACTTTTCTTCTTTGTTTGAGGTATCCATGCTATCATTTATTTTCTGCTTTTGCATTCGTGTTCGAGTAGATGCTGGAAAAGGATGATGAACTATTAATAACATTGATGGTGCTGATTAAATCTGTAATATATTACACTCAAGTCAAATTGATGGAGCTCAGGACTTTGCAAAAACAGTGGTCTCAAATTTTTAAAAATCGCAAATCCTTGTAGCAGGAATTTTCCCATGCATGTACCACCCAAATATATATGGACTCAAGATATATGTGTGTATAAATCATAACGCACCTATCCTAAGGAAACGTTATAAAAAAGAGATGACATAAAAATAAATTGAGGCCCAGCTGTGGGGTGCTCACTAAGATGCCATGCTCTACAGGCTGGGACCACATGCAGTGGTGAATGCCTGTAATCCCAGCTACTTGAGAAGGCTGAGGTAGGAGGATAGGGAGCTCAAGGCTGACCTGCGCAATATAACAAGATCCTGTCTGAAAAAAAGAGCAGGGCATGGTGCATATCTGTAGTCTCAGCTGGGATGCTGAGGCAAAGGACTGCAATACAGGAAGACCCTGTCTTAAAATAAAGAAAGGAGAGAAAAAGGAAAAGAACAGAACAGAAAGAAAAAGAACTTCCATGGGCCAAGTGGTGGTGCAACAATTTGCATCCCAGGACCTCCCTAAGCACAGGGATCTAGATGAGAGCAGAGGTAGACAGTCGTGTAAAAGACCCCGTTGTATGTGCATGTCTCTCTTTCTGTCTCCCATGGAAAAAATAAACTTAAAAAAAATTAAACATAGAACTCCCAATATTTTCTTTATGTGCCCCTAAATGATGGTATCACATATTCCCAGGAAGCTGCCCTTTTGGACCACTGTTTCAGATTGATGAGGTTGAGTTTAACGTGCACCTGAGCTGACTACAATCCCGGGCTGGTCCAGACTGGATCTGCCAGATCAAGTGGTGGTATTCTTTGCAAAGGTGGGGATTCCCTTGTGTTCAGAGATGCCTTGCAGGTACTGCAAAGACGTCAGCTCACAGTTTGTTTAAATCGGGCATACACTAACATAGTAGTACAATAATAATTCCAAGGTAAACAAAACCAGAACACTTACTTTAAATTCTCTAAAAATTCTTAACTTGATTTTTCAAGTGGCCAGAAACAACTTAAACATGCAACAGAGTATTCACATTTGAAAAAGACAATAAATAGTCAATATTTGTAACTTCCTCCTCTGGCCCTTTCACTCCTGTGTGATGATCTTTCCTGAATGACTACACTTCCTTGAGGAAATCTGAAGGGCCTGTTGGAGAATGCCTCAGCTGCAGAGCTCAATTCCTGCTTGACCTGTTTCTCAGCTGCACAAAGACCCCGCACTCTGGCCTGCCAGTGGAAACGCACCATTATTGCTAAGTGTGTCACTGGGAATGTATTGACTGTAGCAAATGAACTCATCTCTAAGAACGTCTATGTGTTTTTACAGCTTTCTGTTTCTTTTTAAGTGCTCTTTTTGGTGGGCTCCAAAATACTTCCACATGTTTTCAAGGTCTGATGGCATATTTTCATGTACTGGGAAGAAAAGCGTCAACTATTTAAAAGTTAAATAGAAATATAGTAGTTGATATTAAATCCCAAAAGAGATTACTTCGTCACTGGAACATTTCAATTTTTGGTTTAGTTTTAATTGTACTCTTAAAATAATACACATAAGAAAAATCGTTAAAAAAAAAACTGAAAGCATTCTTTAAATATTTTAGATTTCAAAGTTTGTATCTACAAAGACATGTTGAGAGACAACCTCTCATCACATTTTATTGGTATTGTTCTCATTAACCTGTCCTATGACCTAGAAATGATGGTTTTAACATCTTTTATCGCCTAAATATTTTTCTTCTTTCCAAGTCTCAGTTCCTTTTCCTATCAAGTGACCTGGTCCCAGGTATCAAGAAGTGTCACACCCACTACCACAGCTACCTCTCTGAGCCCCCCACTAGCTGTAGGGAGCACTTCTCTCTCCTATATGTGCTCTCCATCTGCTATTCTTGGATTAATCTGTTAGAGTCTCAGAGTGGCTTAGGACAGAATTCTATCTGCCTTCAAATTCCATATGTGTGTCATTCTAACTTGGAAGATAACCTGGTATCTTTTTCTTTTAATCAAAACTCTGATTTCCAGTAACTGAAACTTTTGTTTGAAATTAAATTTTAAAATTTGCAAATTAGGAAAGCTCAACAATAGCAGAATAAAAGATCATTCTTCAAATAAGGGTGCTTATTCTTATATATGCTTGGTTTATCAAATCGTTTTCCTTAACACTCTGAAAGAGTACTTCATTATGTTTCTGCCATCTTAAAGTATTTTCTAACCATAGCCATTTATGCTGAAAATGTGGGCAAGCAATGTTTCACTTAGGCTTCCTGCATAGGAGAATTCAGGAAAGGTGATTCTTGAAAATGCAATCTTCATTTGCGTTATACACTTAACCCAAACATGTTTATAAATGATATATTCTTAATAAAAGGCTATTTTAATTGCATAAACAGGTCTTCTAATGAAAGATATTATATGTGTATATTCTCTTATAAAGTGATAAAAGGCTTTGGGTAATGTAAACAATTGTTTCTTTCATTTATTGCAAACGAAATGGTAAGTACTTACTCATTTCTGCCAGTTTCTGTTGAAATTTGGATTCCCCTGGAAGATGTTTACTGCAATTTAAAATAAAAGTCAAAATATTTAATATGTGTATGTATAAATGGAAAACTCAAATTTCCATACCTATGGTGCTGTTAATGACTTATGTTACCATTTTAGTAAGTAGCTTTTCATTTCAAAGGTTTATAAATTAACCATCTAAAATATAAGTGTCATACGTTTATGATCATATACATCTTTTTAGTGGTTCTTAAAAAAATACAGTAGGTAATTATTTTCTAGAGTAAGCATTTTAAAATATAATCTTAAAACCAATAAAATTTTATCGATAGCTTTGTCAAAAATAAGATCAGAGTTTTAACATACAATACCATCATTGAATTTTGGTAGTTGGTATATAATTTGTATGGTGCTTTTAATTTGGGGATACATTTGTACCTGTTATTTTGAGCCATTCTCACAACTTCCAAATACAATTGGCAGGGAAGGGATTGTTAGAAGTCAGGACCAGAGCAGACCTGGGGATCTGATGACTAGCTCAGTACTGAAAAACGTTCTAAAACTGTCCTTACCTTCCATCTGCTTCATCTGACCCTTCAATGTCAAAGCGTAGTTTTTTCAGTGGCTTAGGAGGGTTGCTTCCTTCAGCACTTCTTTTGAGCACACGGTCACTGTTACATACCATCTGATTTATTTTCTGGAATTTCTCGGAAGTCTAGAAATGACAGAATTCTTTATTTTATTATTAAATGCTAGTGTTTTATAATTAGCAATCCTAAATGATAGTTTAACATATGCCAAAAACTAGGCAGGTAATTCCTTTATTTTAATTTTCTACATTATTGGGCCAAATATGAAATATGAAAAATCTCAGAATCAGAATGACTGTCCCTAATTCTGCCCCAGTTAAATACACACTCTTTTTATAGTCTTGTCTTTTCCCATGAGGCTCCTACTCTTCCTCCAACTCAGTGTCCAAATCTGAAAGTCCTAGTTCCTCATTTCTGAAAACTCACCCACATACAAAACTAGAGCTACTTCTCAGAAGCAGGCAAAGTTGAAACAGCTCTCTGGAATCTGGAATCTTGATTTTGATAGGTTTTTGTTTGGTTGGTTGGTTGGTTTTCGTGGTGGAGAGGGTATTACAGAATGAGAGGGAAGGTCATAAGAATTTGATATGTGATTATGTGGGGAAAAATATTTTTTTTATTTTATGGGTATTATGTTGACAAGCCATACAGTTTATATGTTTTAAACCATCATTGAAATGTGGCTAATTCATAAGGTTTTTCAAATAAAAGATCAAATATTCAAAGACTTCAGAATCTGAATCCATGCAGTATTATTGAAGATAATTTGAGTCATACATATCTCCTGAAGGACAGTCCTGTGACAGTAAACAAATAAAGCTTTGGTAAGGGATAACAAGAAGGACATGCCACCTTATTTTATCCAGTGGACAAACACACAGGTCAATTCTATTTCTTAGCTATCTATTTGAGAACCAGAGTGAGGTGACTGTCTCAGAGATGTGTAGTTGAACACATTTATTTGAACTGAAAAAAAGAAGTCAGATTTCCTAATAGAAATTAAATCTGATTTGACTGACAGATTCAGCAGTAAGATTTAACTTTGTTCATTATTTCCCAAATTTAAATGAACTAATTTTACAAAAATAAAGTACAAAAAGAAGTTTTGATGGAAAATATATTAAGAGTGTGTGTGTGTATATATATATATATATATATATATATATATGCATGTACATATATATATATACACACACACACACGTATACATATTATGACAAAGAAATAAATGCTGTGTCTCCACAAAATAATAATATTTTTAGTAAGCAGTGTATATTTTCCTCAATAATTATTTATAGTGAATGAAAACATTTGAAGATCACTTATTGTATACCTACGTATCCAGCTTGAACCCTACTTATACGGTACCTGCCTCTGTGAAGCTTGACGGCTATAGCTCCT